CACTGTTGGTGGGAATGCAAACTTGTACAACCACTGTGGAAATCAGTATGGCGCTTTTTCAGAAAATTGGGAATCAATCTACCTCAAGACCCAGCCATACCACTCTTGGGCATATACCCAAGGAATGCTCAATCATACCACAAAGATACATGCTCAACTATGTTCATAGCAGCACTATTCGTAATAGCCAGAACCTGAAAACAACCTAGATGCCCCTCAACTGAAGAATGGATTAAGAAAATGTAGTACATATACACAATGGAGTACTACTCAGCAGAGAAAAACAATGACAGCATGAAATTTGTAGGCAAATGGATGGAACTAGAAAGTATCATCCTGAGTGAGGTAACCCAAACTCAGAAGGACAAACATGGTATGTACTCACTCATAAGTGGATACTAGATATAAAGCAAAGAACAATCAGACTGCAACCCATAGAACCAGGGAGGCTATACAGCAGGGGTGACCCTAGGCTTATAATAAGTTTTGGTTTTACTCAATTACTGGGCAAGCCTCAATGAAACATTTCACTATTAGGATAAGAATTTATACTGTATCAAGCTGATAATAGAAAAATAAATAAATAAAATAAGAAAAGAATATTTTTGAGGCTAAAGTAAAAAGTCAGAGCCTAATTTCTTTGGCAGAGGAGATTTAAAGACAATCTACCATTATGGGAACATAATGGAGAAATACTGGACCAAAGCAAGTCTGAAGTCAGGAAGGCAACTCCAAATCTTCTTTTTTTTTTTTTTTTTTTTTTTTTGGTTTTTCGAGACAGGGTTTCTCTGTGTAGCTTTGCGCCTTTCCTGGAACTCACTTGGTAGCCCAGACTGGCCTCGAACTCACAGAGATCCGCCTGGCTCTGCCTCCCGAGTGCTGAGATTAAAGGCGTGCGCCACCACCACCCGGCCAAATCTTCTATTTTCATGTCTGATGTCAAAGAGCTTAGATAACTCTCCCCTCAAGTTTTGCTGTGCAAACTTAAATCTCTTTCATAGCAGGTTTCTACTGCCTATGTTCAGCTTTTTAAGGCAGATGTACCATGCCTTTGGCACCTCTAACATTTTGAGATATTTGATACAATTTGGGTTTCACTTTCACAGCTTCCAGAATGACCTCTGGCCTCTTGTCCACTCAGTGACTTCATGCATGGACTTCTCTGTAACACTTTGGCCTCAGTGGTTCTCCTTAACAGTGGAGGAAGGATCCAGAACACATTTGCTCCTTTATCCTTCATAACACTAAAATCAGAAGTACATGAATGAACTACTAAGTTTGGCTGCCCACTTAAGAGCCTGATACTACTGAATAACAATCGAAGCATCTTCTTTTCTTGTTGCTTTTTAGGAGCAAAGAATGCCTTAGGCCTTTTTTTCCCCCAAAAGCTTAGCTAAGTGAGGTCTGGTGTGAGGGCATGCTTCCTTTTATTTCAGTGCAGATTTGACCTTTACTTAATCTTAATTAGTGATTGATTGGAAAGGACCCACCCAATTATTAGTGCTGCCAACCCTGGGCTGGTGGTCCTGGGTTCTATAAGATAGCAGGATGAGGAAGACATGTGGAGCAAAGCCATTAAGCAGCACCCCTCCATGGCCTCTGCATCAGCTCCTGCCTCCAGGTTCCTGCCTTGTTTAAGTTCCTCTCCTGACTTCCATTGATGATGAACAGTGATATGGAAGTGTAAGCCAAATAAACTCTTTTATCCCCAACTTGCTTTTTGGTCATGGTATTTCATCTCAGCAATAGAATCTGTAACTAAGACAAACATCAAAAACATTTGTGATGTTTCAGGTGAATCTTTAACAATATGATTTTTCTGGTAACACCTTTAACATTATGGGTTGATATCATTTTCATTTTAGGAGTAAAAATTCAATAGAATTAATTTATTGGCTAGAATTTACAGAAGAATGCAGCCCTGTCTCAAAACAGCAAAGCACATGTTTCTCTGGGGATATGATGTTTATTAATTAGTTGGTTTGGGAAACTATTCCTAGGATGATTCACAGTCACTGAGCATAAATTAATTGCATGATATAAAAACTATTACCAAGTTGGAAAATCTTTAGGAAATTGTTAAAACCAAACCATTTCTTTCCTCTTCTAATATACTGAGACTGAGGTGTGGGGAGATGAAATTACGTTTTCCAGATGATAGAAAGAATTGGTGGGGAGAATTAACACAGATGTCCCATTAGTCAGGTCTTTCCCTTTTTATTAATTAATGAATGAATTTATTTATTTTTAGTGAAATTGCACCAATGGTCCTAATCTTGGTACTTATAGTTAATAATAACATGTGCCTTCAGCGTGTTTTTCTGTCAGTGCTCTTTAATAGAAATGCTGTGGGTTATTGCTTTTCTTTATGGGCCTTTGTTTCCCCATTTGTAAAACTAAGAGGGTGGAAGAGGGAAGAAACCACATGATTTCTCTGTTCAGTTCCTTTTCTGCTCTTTGAATCTGTGAAGACTAATGTTGCAATTATGTGGGCAGGAGTCTCAGATGGCAAACACTTTTCAAGTCTTCCTGTTTCCTCCCCTGCTTTAGTTGTGGGGATGTTCAGAATTAAACTGCATGTCAAGTAGCAGTAAGTGTTTCCACCCAAGTTAGCACAGCAGTATCCCACATCACTCCCCACAGTCACTTGCAACTTTAGGATTTATTTTTAATTCTATCCCTGTGTGTCTGTGTGTGGATGGGTATGTGCACTTGTGAGTACAGTTTCCTCGGAGGCCAGAGAGGGCACTGGATCCCCTGGAACTGGAATGATAGATGTTTAGAAGCCACCTGACATGGGTGCTGGGGACTGAACATGGACCTCTGTACGGCAGGTAGGTTGTCCTAGCTGCTTTGACACCTCTCCAGCATACTAATAGCCCTGCTGGCGGCCTGTGCAGTAGCCACAGATGCCCTGCTTTTGCTGTCATGTGCTTTAATTGATCACAACCCTGAGTTTTAGGGAAGTGCAGTGACCCATGTTTCGTTCTGGCAAAAATGACTTTCAAGTGCAGATCTTTCTTTCTTTTAAACCATATTCCTCCCTCTTATCTTACATTCCTCCTTATCTTTTCCTTTCATTCTTATTGGAAGGATGCCATGTCTCTGCATTCATTCAGTATAAAAATTTCCAGATAATTTTTGTATGTTTGTGCATATGAATGTTTTGTTTGTCAGGGTTCTCTAGAGGAACAGAACCAATAGAATATGTATATGGGATTTATTAGAATGGCTTACAGGCTGTGGTCCAGACAGTCCAACAATGGCTGTCTACCAATAGAAAGTCTAAGAATACAGTAGATGTTCAGTTCACAAGGCTGTATGTCTCAGCTGTTTTTCAATAAATGCTGAAATCCTGAAAAAGTAGTCTCTAATGCCAGTGAATGGACTTTCCAGCAAGAGTGAGGCCAGGCAGATAAAGAGCAAAAGCTGTCTTCTTCCATGTCCCTTATACAGGCTGCCACCAAAATGTGTGGCCTAGATTGAGGATGGATCTTCCCACATCAAAAGATCTGGATTAAAGAGTGGGTTTTCCATACTTCAAATGATTTAATCAAGAAAAATTCCTCAAAGATGTACTCAACTGCTTGGATTTTATTTAGTTTCAAATGTAGTCAAGTTGACAACCAAGAATAGTCATCATACATGTTTGTACATATGCATGTGTGCACATATTTGGAAGCCAGGGGACAACCTTGGCTGTGATTCCTTAGATGTTGTTCATCTTCTTTTTCCTTTGGAGATTAAAAGAATGTGTGCATTTATGTTTGGGGGAGCTGGTATCTGTGCATATGAGCGCACATGCCTGTGGAAAACAGAAGAGAACATTGGACCCTCCAAAGCTGGAATCACAGGTGATTGTGAACACCTAATGTGGATTATAGGAACTGAACTTGGGTGGTCCACAAGATCAATATACGGTTTTAACTACTAAGCTATTTTTCCCAACAGCTTTTCGTTTCTTTGAAAAACTCTCATTGGCCCAGTATTCTCTGAGTAGACTGTGCTGTCGGGTCAACAAGACCAAGGGGTCCTCCTTTCTTTGTACCCCTCACCCAGCAATAGAATTACAAGCTGGTGTCACCATGCCCAACATTTTTTAAAATGTAGCTTCAGGGTTTAATTTTCATGTCTTTATGTTTACACAGAAGTTTCATCTTTGATAATGATGTGTTGTTTTACAAATACTTATTATCTGTAGCTGTTGTTTTCAACCTGGTGTTTAATGGTTTTTTAAGAAATTACCTCTGGTATTGTGTCTGTACTGAACTTACATCAGCATTTTGTCTGTGTCAAAATTTCCTACACAATGCAGTATAACAATTATTTACATACCATTTATCTTTTCTTAGGTATCAAAAGCAACATTGGGATGTTCTAAAGTATAGATTAGGTGTATATAATATACAAATACTGTGCTATTTTCTGTGAGAAAGTTGAGGACCTGAAGACTTTGATATGCTTTAAAACATCTTTGAGCAGTCTCCCCAGGGATAAGGAGGAAGATTGTATAGGCCAATTTTAAATTAATGATTTACATTAAGTACATAATATAAAGCCTGTGGAATAAAGACTCAAGCCTAGCCCCTAAGATTATTTGCCCCTATATTAACTCGAGATAGAGCCCTATAAGGAACACAATTCTTTTAGTTGTTTTTTTTTTTTTTTTGGCGGGGGAGGGTTGTTATTTTTTTCAAGACAGGGTTTCTCTGTGTTGTTTTGGTGCCTGTTCTGGATCATGCTCTGTAGACTAGGCTGGCTTGGAACTCATAGAGATCCGCCCGGCTCTGTCTCTCAAGTGCTGGTATTAAAGGAGTGCGCCACTACCTCCCAGCAAGGAACGTAATTCTTTAGTCCTTCTATAAACACTAGAATGCCTTGATCCCATTGCATATATAGAGCAATCCAGTGGAGACTTCATTGTACTTTGAGTGACTGTTTATGTACTCTTCTTAGGGTTTTCATTCTAACTTCTTTTGCTTTGCATTGTTGCTGTGCAGAGGACAAGATCTGGATGATGGTTCAGCATGACAACACAGAACTGACTCGGGTACAGGGTTCCAACCCTGAGAAGCCTTATACCATGACCTTAAACTATGGGGGCAGTATGGAGCAGCTGGAGGCTCTGATTGATGGCTCAGAGCACTGTGAACAGGAGGTGGCATATCACTGCAGGAGATCTCGCCTGCTTAACACACCAGGTAAGGTTCTGCCCTTTCTCATGATACCTTGAAACCCACAAGCCAAAGCCCTGACTGTGTTTTTTCTTGACACAAGCTAAAGTCATTGAAAAAGTGGGAACCTCAATTAAAAAAGAAATGTCTTCAAATGATAATTTTCTTAGTGACTGATGTGGGAAGGCCAAGACAATTATGGGTGGTACTACCTCTGGGTAGGTAGTCCTGGGGTATACAAGAAAAACAATGAATAAAAATGAACCTGAGAAAGCCAGGGGGAGCAGGCCAATAAGCACTGTTCCTCCGTGGCCTGTACTTCAGTTCCTGCTTCCAGGTTTCTGCCTTTATTTCTCCCAGTGATAGAGTGTCGCTTGAGAATTGTAAGTTTTCCTTCCCAAGTTTCTTTTGGTCATGGTGTTGTATGACATCAACAGAAACACTAAGACATCCAAAGAGAGGGGTATTTGACAAGAAAGTGGCCCCAGTGCACTTGTTCATTCTGCTTTGAGGAAAGATATGACCAAAAGAAGGCCATAAGTCCTGGCTTTGTTCCTGAGGGAGGGCTGTTGAATCTATACTTGTCTCCGCATCTTCAGAATGACATGCTGATAATACCCACCCTCAACAGCTGGGCAATGAAGAAGTTTGTGAGGGATGGCATTTGAAGCAGAGCATTTGAGCTAGATATGGAAAGTGTGGTAGTTGGACACTGTTGGAAAGGAAGATCGCATCAGGAGGTGTCAAGGATCCCATTTCATACACAGAGTTATGAGTTATGTCTAAAATGAAGGATATCTAAGAAGCAGGCACCAGGCCAGCAAGACAGGCAGAGGCTACTCTGTGTTCCCAGAATTTCTGTTGCCTGAAGAAGAGAGACTTCAATGGATATGAATCTAAATGTAAATTTTCATTTTTCATGAATTAATCAGCTATTAAGATGGGAGGTTCTCATGTAGCATTCATTTCCCTTTAACTCACTATGTAGTTGAGAATGATTTTGAATTTTTGGTCATCCTGCCTCCACCTCTGGAGTGCCGTGAGTACAGGAGTGTACCACCATGCTTGTTTTTTTTTTCTGTGATGCTGGCCTTCAGAGTCAGGGCGACTGCGCATGTTTGAAAAGTACTCTACCAAGGGAGATAATCCCTAGCCCTGACATTTTATTTCAGAAAAAAAGTGGCTAACTCCTTTTATGTTCCCCCAGTTCTGTTTTGTTTTTATGGTGAATGAATGATTTGGTTATTATGTGTGAATTAGTTACCCTCTTGCTGTTGTGATGTAGCACCTAACAAAGCATCCAGAAGAGGAATCACCTTTGGTTCATGGTTTGAAGCTTATCATGCCAGGGAAGGCATGGTGGCAAAAGCAGAATGGTCTGAGGCAACAGTGGTATGGGACAATTGCCTGCTCATACACTGGAGGACCAGGAAGCAGAGAGGGTAATGGTAACATTCAACCAGGCTTTCCATTTTCCTTTCATAAATGTTTTTTTGACACATTAGAGTCTTATGTCTTCCTGCTGGCCTGGAACTCCATATATACAGAACAGACTAGCCTTGAACTCATAGAGATCTACATACCTCTTCTTCTTTAGGGTTGAGGTGGAATGTATGGGTCACTAAGCCCATATGGAGTCATTTATTTCTGCAAGTATTTACTCATCCTAAAGACCACGAAGTTATCAAGTATCCAAGAAATAGTATCACATTCTATCATGAAGTTTAGTATCTGGTCCTTAGCGTTTGTAGGTTTAGAGTGGCTTGGTAACAATCGAGACAAAAATGTCAGTAAATCATGAGTGGGAGACACCTGACTCAATACATTGCACTGCTTGACTAATCTAGAATCTTTAGGGGAAGATACCGTTCCACCTAAGTGAATTTTCTGGATAACTGTCACTTATCCCTTTAAACACTGAAAATATTTTCAGAGAAATTTTAACAATTTGAAATAGAAATCTTTCTCCAATGGATTACATGCCTCCTTGCCTTCTTAAACACAGAATTCAGAACAGAAAATGGGACCTTTTTTTGATGACTCGGCATCATCACTGTGAAATCAATTCCAACTCCTGTTGGATTCAGCCACGCTTGTCAGGCTGATGAAATCAGTGTTGCCTCTCTGTTTTCCTTTCCTGTCATGCCAGCACCTACACACTGTCCCACATGGTTCAATGTCTGTTTCCTTGAATAGTTCTCTGTCCCCTGATGATTAAGCTGAACTCATGTGCCACCCTAAGCTCTTCTCAGGATGTCTGGCTCTAGGGACTGCCCTCCCTTCTTTTCACTGCCTTATTGTCGTTTTCCAATGTTTGAGTTCCTATGAAAAAATTGAAGCGTGTCCATTAAGAGTTTGGGACTTTCCTAAAGGAATCACACTCTCGTGTCACTTAGGTTATGTCATTTATTTATGTGTGCATGCATGCTTGTGTGCTTGCATGCATTTGCGCGCGCGCGCGTGTGTGTGTGTGTGTGTGTGTGTGTGTGTGTGTGTGTGTGTGTGTGTGCATGTGTGTCCAGATGCACACATGCCCATGGAGGTTAGATGTATTGGATGTATTGGACCACCCATCAGTTAAATCACAGGCTTCTGTGAGCCACCCAACCTGAGTGTTTGGGAACAGCACTCAGGTCCTCTAGCATAGAGGCACTTGTAGCTGCTGAGACATTTATGTGTCCAGTCCCTGTCATTCCTTTGTGTCCAAGCATTGTCTTCCTAACTCGATTGTATTAAGTTCTTTGAGTTTAGGTTTGCATAGGAAGATTATAGATTTGGGGGAGATCAGAGTGAGAGTGATATCTCAATCCAGTCCTTACCTGCCTTGTGCCAGCTTGCTTAGTTTCTGCAGTTTAACTTCACAACCGTTCCATTGACACAAAGATTTGAAATTCATAAGGCTAGGAGGAAGGGAGAAAGACAAACACAGTCTGAAATCCTTAGACTGCACCCCGTATAGCTCAGGCCTCCAATAACCAGTGTCTCTGCTCACAGCTTCCATCTCAAAAGACCAGGGACAAAGTTGATGCTATCACAAGGAATAAGCTGAAAGAGAATTTCTGTTTTATTATTAGTTCTTTGCAAAATGTATACAATGAGTTTTTCCCATGTCTATCCCCTCTTCCCCAATACCCCCAGATGCACATCCAGTACCTATGCCACTTTGTTTCCATTTTTTAAAAAATATCCATCAAGTCCAATTTGTGCTACCCATCTATTCATGGAGGTGGGAACTTCCACTGGAAAATGGGTGACCTACCAGGAGTTACACCTTATAAGAAAACTGACTCTTTCTCCAGCAGCTATCAGTTGCTAACAGCCCCTCAGCCAGGGGTGGAACTTCATGTCCACCTCCCTTCTTCATGCTGGGACTTTTGTGTGGCTTTAGCTTGTACAGGTCTTGTTCATGATGTCATAACCTCTGACTTCATATGTTCAGCTGTCATAACCTCTGACTTCATATGTTTAGCTGTCCTATTGTGTCCAGAGGATACTGTTTTCTTTTATTTACTCATTATATTTAAATCTTATAGTCTTTACACATCCTCTTCTACAATAGGAATCCCTGAGCCTTGGGAGGAGGGGCTGCGGTATAGACATTCTATTTAAGGCCAAGCTTTACTCAAGCATGTGTTCTATGAACCTTGGCTAGTTGTGGGTCTCCATGTTAATCACCATCTCCTGAAGATAGAAGATTTTCTGATGAGGGTTGAGAGATGCATTAGCCTATGGGAATAACAAGAAGTCATCAGGAGTCGGTTCAATACTATGCTCATATAGCAGAATAACAAAAAGCAATAGGCTCTCTCCTAGGACCTATTACTGCCTAGCCATGGGTTCTTGCCCCAACAATGGTCCCAGGTATAGATTTGATCCTGTAGAGAGAGACTTAAATCCATCAGAATGTGGCTGGTTCCTTGCATGGTCTTCTTCCCACTATAGTAGCAGTGGGCCTGTCTCACCAGATCTGCTGTTATTACACCTTGCAGGGTGCCCAGATGGTGAGAAGGATGATACTGTTCTTCTCCAACAGGGTCTTCCCATCAGTTTCGGGAGGATACCCAGTAGGATTGGCACTAGCCTGTGACATTTGTGTATCTATAGAACCACACTGCCAACAACTCCAAAAGAAGAAAATATTTCTGGAATAGGGCTTATCTGTAAGCATATGGAGTATAATAGGAGCATCACTGTACCATTATAGTATCTCTGTCTCTCTGTCTCTATGTCTCTCTCTGTCTCTGTCTCTCTGTCTCTCTCTCTCCTCCCACATACGTGTGTGTGTGTGTGTGTGTGTGTGTGTGTGTGTGTGTGTGTGTGTACATGCTTCTACTCTTTTACAGTAGTGGGTAAGGGTAGGTTTCCTTCATTATCTAGATGCAAGGTAGAAGGAAAGAATAAATGCCCACAAGTCATTCTCTGACCTTCACAAAAATTCTATAGGCCTCCTGTGTGCACATGTATTCACACACACATACACACACACATGCTAAATAGACACATAAATGTAATAATATAGCCAATGAGCCAAAATAATCATACCAATAACTGATTTTTATCAATAACCGTATATCCTCTTATATAGGTGTTTCAAATGAGCAGTCTCATTTTGGCATGTACATACAGATATGCTGTAGATAGGGCTATAACAACATTTTTTGCAAGTAGATCCCTGTGAACATAACTCAGGATAAATTCCTTGAAGTACCATTGCCAGAAAAGAAAGTGTGTATATTTTCAAGAATTTTTGCCACCTTGACTTCTGCTTTGTATCAAGGTGGAGACGATTTATAGTCCAACAACACAAAGAAACTATATGCCCATTTCCAAGAAATGGATATTAACTTTGACTTCTCATTTCAAGTATGGGTAATCTTATGAATGTAAAATGTCACCAAAGAAAACTTTAAGTTTTGTAGGTAGTAGTAATTATATATATATATATATATATACACATATGAAAGAGGAGGAGGGAGGAAGAAAGAGAGAATACCATAGCTTATAGGTTACCATTAATGGCATAGTCA